AGCATAAATGGATCTTTGTAGATAGCTACTGGTTTAAGATAGATATCTGAATTTGAACCTTCAGCTTGACCAGTTGATGAACCATCGAAATTCCACCATGATAGCTCATTTGGTGATCTTGGTTCTTGATCGACAGTTCGAGTTTTAGCTATTTAAGAAAAAAAGATAATCGAATAAGTAAAGCGTGATCGTAAAAAAATATGATGAGATGATACCTCGAAGATTTTCACCTGTACCATCAATCCATATATAAGTAGCCATCACCTTGTTTTCAGGTTGCGGTAATTCCAAATATCGACGAAGAATCGCTTTATCTGTCGTCGCAACATTGTTTGATCTCGTATCCATAATATTAATCTGAAAAGAGATAAAGCTTTAATCGATATATTTTATTTTAATTTATTTATACAAGTTACAATTTATTCATATAAGAAAAATTACAAGCAAACATTTAATTCTCAGTATCTCTTTGAAGAAGATTGTCCTATTGCATAATTTTGTGTTTTAATAACATTATATTAAGTGCTTGCTACTCCTGTTGATGCATATAAATAACAACATTATCTGATATTTTTTTTTCTGGTTTGTTTTCTCTGGTTTCTGTTATTTCTGCGCATATTTGACCCTGGTTGACATCAAATGTCTTACTTATAAAGCATAAGAAGAGAGAAATGGTAGCATCAAGCAGTGATAAAAAGCCTTGTTGATATACTAGGTGTAATGGAAGTAGAAGAAAAGATTTGCCCTTAGTATATTTTCATGAGAAATAATGTTCTACTGATGAATCGAAGAAAGTGCACAATTTACTGCTAATGTCAAAGAAACAATATCTCTCATTAAATGGAGAAAAAAAACAAAAAAGCATGTAATAACTCAGATCTTTATGAATGGCAATTATATTGTCAAAAAAACATGTACTTAAAACACATTAGAACAATAAAAGTGCAATTAAACTGTATATGATGCACTGGATACATTCCTTGCATTCTGATAATTCTGTTATATTCTACAATAGAAGATAATAGGTCAACTGCGCTATTTATATTTGACAATATAAACAAATACATCTACGTTTTATCATCTCAATTGGATATGTACGTGTTATAAATAGCTCTTAATAGAGAAAAATACGAAAACAAATTTTGATTAATTTCTTTTACTACAATGTGAATAAAAATAGAAATTGTTTTATTATATAAGATTCTATTAAAAACACATTTTGACTTTTCAAATCAATCAATTTATGTTTATAATATAGGTACCACAAGTTAGTAGCAAACTTTTTTTGTCAATAGAAAAATAAAGTATGCATTATCAATTCAAAAGAAGTGATTTTGTGCACTATTCTATTTATCATTGACAAAAAAACATACATAAGTCGATACGTTTCTAAAATCACAACTGAACATTCATAATTCTACTGTACGTCAAAGACAAATAGAACGAACATTTTCAAATTCTTTTACCTAAATCTACACAGCTATGTGAGTAAAAATATTACATATGAAAAAATAAAGAAATATTTAATAAAATAAAATCTCTACTCAAGACTCATAATATGATGAAAAATTTAAAGAGCCAAAAAATAATAAAGCAATGAAACAATACCACCGGGATAGATATATTTATTCATTCATTAACGTCACCGTTTGAAACTCTTTCTCCAGATTCATGTACTATTGCAGTTGAGTCTTTTTCACCGAGACATATAGTACGAACAATAATATCCGTAACATCATATGGATCACAGTTTGATGCTGGACGACGATCTTCTAAATAGCCACATTTCTCATCATCAACTTGACGAGGAATTCGAATTGATGTACATCGATTACCAATACCAACATTAAATTGATTAATCTAAACATATTTATATAAACATATAATACTTATTTCTTTCAATTCAACATACATTAGCTGTTTCATGTCGTCCAGTTAATCGTCGTTCATTATGTTTGCCATACCGTTGAATGTGTGTAGTATGACGTGCTTTAAGCAATTTGATTGCATCATTAATAGCCCTATATAAAAAATGAAATAATCAATGAAAGATATCGTTATGTAAAAAAGGATACTTACTCAATACCACCAGGTTCACGCATTATTTTAGTTGAAAAATTAGCATGACATCCAGCACCATTCCAATCGCCTCCCATTGGTTTTGGATCAAAACTTACTTCAACACCAAATTCTTCAGCAATACGCAGCAAAAGATATCGTGATACCCATAGCTGATCACTAGCTTGGACTCCTTCACATGGACCAACTTGATATTCCCATTGAGCCGGCATTGATTCAGCATTAGTACCACTAACATTAATTCCAGCATATAAACATGCTTTGTAATGTGCTTCAACAATATCACGACCAAGAGCTTGACATGCGCCAACACCACAATAGTATGGACCTATAAAAATAACAACATATCATAGATTTGTATATATATGTGTGTGTATTGTTTTATCTTACCTTGTGGATGTGGAAATCCACCTTTTGGCCATCCAAATG